GGCTCGGAGAGGCACGGGCGGCGGCAGAGTCGGGGGGACGGGCCGTGGGGTCGCCCAGCGGAGCGTCTGCAGAGTCTGTTTTGCTCTGCGTGGCCTCTCAGCGCATCAGATAAGCATCCTCGTGACCCTGGAGTTGGGCAAGTGCCTGCGACACCTCATGCTGTCAGGTGACAGCAAGGTATGATGACGGGGCCTGGAGGCTGAGGGTAAGAGTCTGTGGTAGACGAAAAGCAGGAACAGGTCCTGGGGCGGTGGTGGGGGTGGGGGGGTGGGGTGAGACTGACTCATTGCAGATGACCAGGGAAGCCGACCGGGTGGTTGCCCTCACGTTCTGTCCTAATCTACTGCTTCTGAGCGGCCTCCATGTCGGCGGCGCCGCCAGGGAGAGGGTTCGAGAGACGGACAGAGTCGGAGACCCTGCCTACCCCCCCCTCCCCCCGCAGAGCCAGTCTCTGCCTTTGAACAAAGTGCGGGCGATGCAGGTGTTTCCCACCCACGTTAGTGCTGGAAGAGCGTTGCTGTTTGGTATGTAGACATAAACACTCAAAGGATGTACTGGTCAGTGAAATTAGGACTCTAATAAAATTATCTAGCCCAGATCGATAGAACTGTGTTATTTTAATTTGGGGCTGACTAATAGTGGTACTTCGTTTTGGTAAATTTAATTCTCAATATTCGAGTCTCTGTCCACATAGGTTCACGCTGTCTACACAGATGATCCCCCATGATTGGAAGAAAACAGAACACATGTTTTTGCCTTTCATCAACTAAGGCATTGGAAATTGGGAGATTTAAGACAATAGTAGCTCAATTATTTTTTTCCCCTTTTTCACATAGAAAATGAAAACCAAAATAGTGAGTTTTTTACTTTCTTCTCCATAAATCATATGCATACTTGGAAAATCCTTTATGCTGAAATGTTTAACTTTTACTTACTTGTAGGAAATGTGGTCTGCATACTCAAGACAGGAAAATAAACCAAGAAAAACCTAAAGCACTTTGGTTACTTAAATGTAAAAACCTAACTTCATAAAAAGGTTTGTCTCTTACAGAGTTCAAAAAAAAAAAAAAACAAAAAACAAAACCCAAAGAGAGAGACCTCTTTAGCATGTTTGGCTCAGCTTCCAGAGGTCTGACCGCACGCCCTGATCTGTGCCCATTACAGCCTCAGCGCAGGCGAGACACTTCCTGCGCAGATAGCACCCGTGTTCATCTGATTCCAATTTTCCCACCCAAGTCTCAGACCACCCATGGCACACAAGCCAAATTACTACCAAGAGCTAAGTTTATAATGTGAAAAGCAGACATTTCCATGTGTCCTTCCTTTCAGAATTCAAGATCAAGGCCAAGTCAGGAGTCTTAACATCATTCAATGAATCGCGTGCCTCGCGCGATTACGTGCCCAAGTCACAGAACTCAGCGTTGCCACTGCCTCTGCAGTCCTGCGCGTTGGGAGCCGGCGACACAGTGCTGCCCCTGAGTTGTGCTGTGCCTTTGTCAAACCCTATGATTTCCCATATGCCACTGTCCCTATACGTGGCAAAGGGGGCAATGAGTCTTTTTCCACCTTCCTCATCGTGTTCTCATAAATACCCAGAGATACGCGTGGGCGCTGGGGAGCGTTGAGATGCGTCAAATCCTGTAGAAACACAAGGGATTGTTACTGGCAAGTCTGTTTTCTTAAAGACATTTTAGTGTTTATATGATGCGGTACGTGTCCCGGGCTTATTTAATAACTCGCCGTTCGGGGAGTCCGATGCTGCGCGCAGAAAGGTTCTTCTTGAAGAGGCGCTTCTGCAGGAGGTTGGAAGCAGCCACACCCTCCTCGTGTTTATTTGCCGCCCCTCTCAGCGGCATCGCTTTCTCCCAGGCTGGGTTTCCCCGTGTTGTTTTACAGACGTGGCGTGGCCTACGTGTACAGTGATTATAGGGTCCACGTCATGCGTGGTCCCGTCCCAGACCCTCACGCCACCCCGCCCTCACTCATGCTCCCCCGGAGCGGCTGTCCGCCCCGCCCCACAGGCCCCGTTCCCGGGCAGCGCCCCGCGCAGCTGCGCCACCTCTGTCTCTCTCACAGCGCCTTTCCGCTGCACCCCGTCCACGTGGAGCTACGTTTAGAGACTCAGGCACCGTGGTGTTCCAGTTGCCTGCGGTACTCGGCACAGCGGCCCGAGACATGGGCGTGTGGCCCGGGAGCAGCAGGCCGAGTACCGACTGGGGGGCGGGGGCGGGCCATAGGCTGGATCCCCTGGATGTGCGAAGTGCCCTCAGTGTTGTTCGTGCAGGAACCGAATCGCCAGAGGACACTTCTCAGGACACACTTCTCGGGACACAGTCCCGTCGCGACCCTGACGGCAGGCGGCCGGGAGGCTGACGCAAACAGAGTGGAAGGGAACCGGAGGACTCCAGGCATGCCACCGCCGTGGTGTGTTTATGCTTTAAGTGCTCGCTGCTCTGTGGAGCGCACGCGTGGTGGGCGTGAGCAGCGTGCAGAGCCAGAGTGCCCGAGAGCTGAGTGCAGTGGTGCACGGGAGAGGCTGGTGGTTTGGACGCGCACGGCAGCGGAGGGCCTGGCCAGAGGCGAACGCTTTCAAGGTCCATTTTGCAGATAAGCTCCCCGCCGCATTCGCTTGTGGGTGGGGTAGGAGGGTGTGGCGGCCTCAGCCTCGGTCTCTGCTGGCACGTCTGTGCCCATGGTGACCTTTCCGGACGCCCCTGCCGCCCCCCTTCTGGGTCTCCGCCGTGCTCCAGCTCTTGGCCGAGTCTCCGTTTGCATCCGTCACTGAGCCGAGGTGAGCCACGGCTCTCCAATTTCCAGGTCTTCATCATCTGCGCTGAAGCCGGGTATTTCTTCTGGGGCTGCCTGCGTCTTCTCGGTGTTGAGAAGCAGCCCTGCCCCAGCCCTTCCCGCCTTCGCTTTCGTCAGAATCATTTCAGACCGCCGCTGCCTTCCACCAGGGAGACACGGTCATGTGCACATCTGAGGTTGCTGGGGGAGCTGAGCACCAAGCAGTGAGAGAAAGGAAAGAATAAAAAAAAGGCAAGGACTACACATGTGCTTCTGATTCCCCCAGGACTTGCCTGACCTGCCCCGGCTCGCCCTCCCTGCAGTGACGCCCACAGTGGTCAGACCGCTGGAGGGTGGAAGGAAGGAAGGCTCCTCTGCTTTGCACAAGGTTGGCCGCAGGGGGAAGGGGCGGGGGCGCCCAGGCAGCTCCCTGAGGGCCGCCTGTGCTCCCAGGCCTGACACGGAGCGGTTGGTGCCATCTGGGGAAGAGCCCGAGCTTGTGTGTCCGCCGATGGGTGGTTTCCAGCCTCAGCCGGTGAGAGGACCTGTTAGCCCCAAACGAGCATGCCGGGGGACCCCCAAAATACGGGTCTTTGGCTGTCCCTCTAACTAACGCCTGTTTACTGTCCAATGTGGGTCACTCCGTGGTGTGATCTGGGTCTGAACCAAACACGCTTACACAACTAGAGTGATATTCTCATTTAGGCTGAACTATTCCAATGTGTTACACCAGAAAAAAAAACCCCAAACACAAATCCTAACTCCACACCACGGTGAGAACCCATATGGAGTGTAAAGAGGGAGAGAGTTGGTTTGAACAATTGCCACCAGCTCCCAGAGAGCTGGGGCTACGAACCGCGTTGGCCCTCTGCATCGGGGCTCACGGGAGAGCAGACCCAGCAGCCGTGGGGCGGCCGGGCCGGGTGATGGAGGGTGCTCCCTCACCTGGCACGCACAGCAGGAAGGCAGCTGCGGGAGACTCGCATTACCGTTTGGGAAGCGCCCGCGCTGGTGAAAGACGGGGGCGTGAGATCAGTGCCGCCCGGATTCACGTTAGGCTCTGCTGTAACAGCACAGGGTCCACGCCTGTGGGTGCCTCCAGGAAATGGAAGCAATCGAACCGAGTGCAGGGGTGGTTGTGATGGTCACAGCCAGCTCCCGGTAGGCGTGCAGGAGAGGGCCAACGACCTCGCAGTTCGACACCCCCTCCGTCGGTTTTGGGTCGCGGAGTTAACTTTAGTAACTGTGGAGACGTGCTGGTGAGCACAGTTTCACTCGACAGAGCCTGAGGGCTCCCTTTTGACCCGGGGAGGGCGGGGCTGATGACCACCGAGGTGATTTACGCCTCTAACCCTTCCACGTGGCCAGAGACGGTTCGGACTCAAGTGAATAAAATAATCTGGAAATCACTGAAACAATACCTCCTGGCTGCCAGTTCTACGGACATTCTGCATTTCCCAACGAGATAAACTAAGAATGACTTTGGGAAACCTGTATTTCCTCTCGATCTCTTCTTAGCTGAAGCCCTTGCTTTGATTTATTTGATATCGCTGCCTTTTAATATTCTCCCACTATTTTCCCCCTGCCTTTCCCAAAATGTAATTGCTACTGGAAAAAGTTAATGCCGTTTCTAGTGTCACTAGTGAACCATTTCGTCTGCTGGGTTACAACTGAAATAAAGCTTCCTCAAACATCAACATCGGAGCTGAACGTGCATCCTTCAGGAAAGAATTTCCTTTGTGCCTGAAAACGTGACCGAGTCCCTCCGAGGAATGGGAGGGGAGTTTCCTTCGTGTCGCCTACAAAGTTAACCAGGGAAGGGGAAAAAAAACAAAACCCAAACCCACAACTGTGTCTTTTTTTCTGAGAGGCAAACGGGGGGAAATCACAGTCCAAATGCAGGGCCGAGGGGATAGGAAGGGGGGGAAAAGCCTCGAAAAGGCTCAGCCCCAGCCTCCTCCCCCACCGCCGCCACCGTCTCGGTGCGGGGTGGCTGCCCGCCCCTCCCGAGCCGAGTCTGAGCCTGCGAAAGCCTCCAGTCATTCTTCCACACAGAAAGGACAAACGAGCCCGAGGGGCGGGCCTCCGTGCTTTCAGTTTCAACTCCTCTCCAATGGGGGGCGAGGGCTGCGGGCCCGAGCTGGGCGGCGGGCCAATGGGCGCGCGGCGTGGGCCCCACGTGACGCGCCGCCCCTGCCTTTCACACGGGCGGCGAGCTGGTCCGATTCAGAACTGCGGATAGTACGGCCCTCGCGGGAGCGGGCGCCGGAGCGCCGGGGCCGCGTCCCCGGGCCCGGGCCGGGCCGCGCGCTCTCCCCCCTTCCTCCCGCCCCGAGCGGGGCTCTGCACCTGCGGCGGCCGCCGTCTGGCTCCAGCCCCCGCGCTGCCCCCGGGGGCGAGGGGCCCGCGCCGAGACCATCTGGAAACGGTGAGTGCGCCTCCCCCTCCGTCCAGCGCACTGGCTCCGGCAGTTTGAGGCCCTCCGCACCCGACACGGGTGGGGGGGGGGTGGCGGGTTCGAGGCGCCCCTTTTCTGCGCGGGGCTGGGAGGGCGTTCCGGCGGCGGGGACACCTCCGGGGCACAATTGTTGCTTCCTGCGGGCGGAGACGGAGAATGGGAAGGAAAGTCGGGCCCCGCGCGCGTAGCCGCGGGAGCCTCCGTCCCGGCACGGCGCCCGGCGGCGTGCGGCTTTGTTCGCCAGGAGAGGCGAGGGCGCACACGCACGCCCGCCCTCCGCGCCCCTGCGCCCCTGCGCTCCCGCCGTCCGGGCCGCTCTGCCCTGGCCCCTGGGAGGATAAAAGGCAAACTTCGCGGACGCCACTGGCCAGAGCCCCCTCGAGGGCTCCCCCGCCATCTGACAGTTCTTGTAATTAGCGACGAAAGACGGCCGCGGCACTTGGGGCAAAGAGCTCTTAAATGCAGAACAATGGCTTCAAGCCAGGGCCTCCTTTTAATTTATTTTTTTTAACCACCACTTGGCCCTTCGTAGTAAGCGATGGACGCAGAACTGGTTTCGGCGTCTTTGCCCACAAAATGTACACTCAGGCCCTGGCCGAAGTGCAGGGCAGGTCCCCGAGGGCCAGCGTGGGGACCGGAGGGAGAAGGCAGCTTCCGTCTCGGGACCCAGCCTTCCATGTAGAAAGGCTTTTTTTTTTTTTTTTTTGAAATTCCTAATAGGGTGGAGTGAGGATGTGGGGGTGGGGAGGAAGCATGCGGAAGCTCCTGCACAGAAGAATGCTGGAAGGAGAGAATAATTCGGGATCTCTGCGTACAAGCAGGCGAAAGGTTAGCCTCCAAGTTACAGTCTCGGTAAGATTTTTCGGTGGAGTTTCAAACAAGCAACCTCCAAAGCAGGTTTTTTTTTTTTTTTTTAATTTATAAAATATTTGGAAACCAATGGGGTGGGGGCAGGCGCGGCACTGCTTCCCTCTTACGCCCAGCTAGCGTGATCTAGCCGTGTTTGTGCCTTTACTCCCGGAATCGGCCGCAGCCTGTGAAAGTTATCGGCTAAGTCTGGTGAGGAATTAAAAGGCGGATCAGATGGACGTGATTTTGACTGATGAAGGTTTTGGACAACAAAGTTCCGAGAGAAAGAGAGTTGGCGAGGAGCTGTTGCCCTCCTCGTTTTTAAAAGGAGAATATTAACTCCATCAATTATTGAAAGGAATTATTTGCAGGCTCCAGACATAACTAATTATGGCTTCGTGAGCTCCGCCAGAGCAGAGCCTGTGTACTCTAATTATAAAAGTCCAAGACGTTAGGGTTCTTTTTTTTTTTTCTCTTAAAGAGGACCCGGACACACATTTGCACATAATCTTTGTGAAATACACCATTTTTTTTTTCTTTGTCTGCTCTCACGTTATCCCCACCCCACCCCTGGCCACCCCCCTCCCCCCGCATGCGGGGGGACACCTGAAGGCAGGACGTAATGACCCGCAGAGCTCCAGCCAGCCTGGCCTCCGGCCAGGTCCCCCGCCCCCGCCCCCCGCCCCGCAGCCAGCAGCCTGCACGCAGTGCCCGCCCAGCCCTCGCCCCTGCTCCCTGCTCGGTGCAGAGGGGCTGGGAGCCCGACTTCGGCTGCGGAAAGATTAAAGACAATATCCCCTTTCTCTTACCCCAGACAGCCTGGCCACTTAACCCTTTCATGGCCCTGAAAAGCGAGACTCCTTCCCCGCTCCAGGGCGGCTCTCAGGGGACCCTGTGCCTCCCTGGGCAGGGCAGCTCAGCTCGGCGGCACGGACCCACCACCCCAGGCACCGCAGGCTCTGCGGTGTGTGTGCCTGCGAGCCGGAGCCTCGGAGCCTCGGAGCCTCGGAGCCTCGTCGTCTTGTGCGGGGAGGCGCGTTCTTGGTGAACTTGAGCTGCCTGAAAATCTGGAACAAGTCAAAGATCTGTGGCAAGATTTTTGCAAACCTTGCAGAAGGTTGTGCTATTTCTGATGGTGCTGTTCTTGAAGCAACCCCCCCTTCACACACACACACACACACACACACAGGAGACACACTCAGCCAGGCAACCCTATCACGGTATCGCAGAGAAACCAGGTTTGCTGGTGATGTCACCAGAACGCTTCTCCTTTGTGGGCGCCGCTTGCAACCCCCTTCTCGCCAGGGTCTGTTGGGTGCGCGCCCAAAGGAACCTCACGGGGCTGTGGGGCCACCCGACCCCCGCAGGAAGGGACTGTTTTGTTTGTGGCGCCCTCTTTCCTGAAGATGCGTTCGCGGGGCAGTGTGGGCATGTTTTTCAAGATGTGCCTCGTCGGCAGAGTTTGCTGGTTCTAGGAACCCTCATTAACATGCAGGTGGAAGATGGGAGGGGGGCTGAATTTCAATGGCACGCATGGGGTGCGGGAATGGTGAGCACTTTTGAAATCACTTGGATAAAAAATGCTCCAGGACGGACGACGGGTGTGAGGACTTGGTGATTCTCACTTACCATTTAAATTTTTGCAGCCGTGAAAGCTTTTTGACTATTAACTGCTGCTGAAGGAGAGGTTATATACAAACGATTTAAAAGTAATGCTGGCTGCATGGACTCTGTCTCCATGGTGGCTGGGCTACAATGGTACCTGCTGGGATAGCGTTTGGATTTATTTTCAGGTCTGTTCTGTGGGTCTTGGAACGAGACAGTTCTCTACAAAACAAGTGTTCACATTTTAAGAAATGTAGATTTAAGGACATTATTTTATTTTACTTAAATAGAAAAAGTTTAGTAATTTTACCAAAACATATTGCTATGTCTGAGGTGTAAATATAAAACAACTATGCATACGTAATGTCTCTTAACTACCAAGTTTCAATGTATAAATAAATTAATCTTCACGCAGAAAGGATCACTGGGTAACTTACCAGTTCTCACACACCAAGTATCTGATACATTGTTTTCCCCCTATTGCGATTTGTGCCAATACTTCTTTCTTGCATATTTACAAAGGGATTAATTTTGAAAGGATTACGGGGCACGCAGATAGCAACAGCACAATTTTTACTGCACGTTGTAATGAGATTAATTTTGCGATTGTTTTCAAACAAGCGAAGAATGTTTTGTTCTCTCTTTTTTTTTTTTTTTTTTTGCTGCTGTGTTCCTATTGTTGAGAAGAGTCTAGAGCTTCAAGAACGGACACATTTTGTCCTTGGGGGGGAAACAGGCCACACAAGTTAGGCGACATTCTCGGGGGGTGAGATGGCCGTGTGGACGGACAAGTAAGTTGGAGAAACCCTGGGGCCTGGCGCCATGTGCTCACAAACAGCCCTCTCCTCCTCGAGTGGCGCTCTGGCCCGGGGGCGGGTTACGCAATTGTTTCATCAGAGATCAAAAACGAGGGAAGAGCTGGGCTTCAGTTTCACCTACTTTCCGAAAACACGCCGCGCGCTGCCCACTGGGCACACTGGTTACTCAAAGGGCATCTTTCAAGGAAAACAAGCTCTCGGACCTGACCGAAACGGTCCAGCGACGTAACGCCGCTCGGAACAAATGGTTTCTCAGAGCCCCACGAGGAAGAACAATTTGCTACAGTCCAGGCCCTTCTGCCCACACAATAGTAACGATTTATTGGAAATGGCAGAACAAACAAAGTAAATACACACAAAAACAGCCAGTGATGTGTTCCGTCAGGGGCCTATCAAGATTCTTGTGTTTCATATGTTAGAATACTCTTCGTCCAATTATTTATTTATCCGAAGACTTTAGTTAAAACTACACTCTTGCTCAGCCTGCGTTAATAGTCACATACCCTTGTACTTGGGTGTAGTGTGTGCAGTAGGTACGCATGTGTACTTGAATATAGCCGCATGGACAAAGTAATCGTTGGTATTGTATTATGACCGGAGTTTTTTTAAATGCTCTGGAGTTAGGATATGAGCACATTTCAGCACAATGACATTTGGGAGCCGCCGTCGACTAGCTGCGTGTCTGCCCGAGGTGGGCCCTGTTCAGATGCTGGCTAGATTCACGTAGGCACGATGTAATCACTACAAGTGCCTCGAATCAGAAAAAAAAATTGAATCCTATCAAAAGACACGACTCTTAATTTGGCACCGAGTGTAAAATGTTCGTTTCATTAAAATCTCTTTCTTACCAGGATGAAGCTGATTTCTAAAAGTAAACTCACACGCCCATTTTCTCTTTGTGGAAAGAGAGATTAGGGTTTCTCAACACTTAGCCTGTGGGCACAGGGCCTGAAATTACTTTGAGTGCGGTAGGTTCTTCCACGCTGAGCGGGGGTGGGGGCCCCCCCGGCCCCGATGAGAAAAGGCCGTGAGCTGGTTTGGTCGCTTCCTGCTTCCAGTGGTCGTCTCCCGAGTCACGCGCGTCCGTGGAAACTGTCAGGTTATTCTCACGGTTCCCGGAGGCCCGGGGCCCTGGGGGTGCCAGGAAGCACACGGGTTTGAGCAGCAGTGGGACCTTCAGCCGGGTTCCCGTGGGCTCCTGCATCCCAGAGCGGGGGTGGGCTGCGCATTGCATATTTGGAGGTTAAAAAAGAAACATTTAGACTATTTCCCCTTCAGCGGATTTGGGGCCCATCTTTTTCGATTCCAGCCTGCAGTTCGGCTGAAACAACTTCTCTGCACAGCTCCAAGTGGCCACGTGCGCCTTTCTTATTTAGATGAGACGCTTCCTTTCAATAACATCTTTCTTCTTGACCTGCTTAAAAATTCCAGCGAATGAAATCAGCCCAGGATTTTCAATGCTAATTGGCCGTGTGCAGGGGGGCGGGGCGGGGGGGGCGAGCTCAGTGGCCGCATTGTGAAGCTGGCGGCTCCGGTGGTGACCCTGTGTGCTTCCCCTGCTGGCCAACCTAAGCTCATGGACTGCAGTTCATTTGTGTTAATATTAATAGAGCTGCAAGAGTGATCCCCCCATGCAAACTATTTGAGTTGGCTGTTTCTCCCATGTATAATCACAAGTAATCAAAAAAAAAAGAAAAAGAAAGAAAAAAGTCACACACTTCTACCACCTCTCAACTAGATAGTAAGCAAATCATTGGCTAAAAGTGCATGAACATATTGGCATCGTGATTGAATCGGGACAAAAGCCTGATGATGCCACATTTAGTTTCCTTGTCACTTGAATAAATCATTTTTGGAATATACACACACACACACTTTTACATACACCATGAAAACAGCCACTACCTAAAATTCTTGGTCCATTGCTTGTATAGTCGTTATATAAACAAAAATGTTTCTGACTGGGGGTTTTATTTGGACTCGGATTAGTGAAAAATGTCAAGGGTTTGAGGTGATAAACACGGCAGCTTAGCAAGTGGTCCCTGCAGTGCAACGGGCCTGCGCCTTTTTAGCTGTTTTCTCTTTCCCACAAGTTCTTGACTCAGATAATCTCCCCCTTGTTTGTTATTGCAGAAACTGGAAAGATGTTCTCTTTTTAAACATTTCACTTCAGAAGCGTAAAACCGAGAGATGAAAACAAGTTACTTACCCTTCTGATACTGATATTATTTTCACTGATCAAGACAGAAACCCGCACGGAAGCTGCCTGTTTTAAAAATGTGTAACAGATAAGAAGAAACTTTGAGTTGTGTGTCAGCGTCGTGGATCCGGGTGGGTCTCCCAGCGGCCCTGCCTCGGGGTGGGATTCTTTGCTACCCGCCCCCCCCCCTTCCCGGCTCAGGAAAACCTGCTGGTCGGCACACACGGGGCGGCTCACCAAAGGCCACGCTGGTGCAAATGCTTGAGAAAGGCATCCCGTGGCCAGGGTCGACGAGGGTGTCTCTGCACCCCAACTGCACAAAATTAACATGTGATGGCTCGGTCACCACCTCATGATGATACGAAGTCAGTTCTTTAAGAGCCTTGTAAAATTCAACTTTCTGACTCGGTCATATATATGTACATATGTGCGTGTACACACACACACACGTGCCAATTATGTTACCAAAATAGAAGAGGTCTCCTCGTGCCATTAAGAAGGTGTGGCGAACACACCTCATATTTGATTATTTCCCCCCTGATTTATGAGTGACACAAATCCACTAGAAAAGTGGATCCGAGGCCCTGATTTGGTCTTGTTCTACTGCCTCAAATGCACAAAACAGATTTCTCAAAGAAATCAAAGTATAAACAGAAAACCTAAGCATAATACCGAGTCTCAGGTATTCATTCAGGTACACATATTTTTAGCTTGGTTTTACTCTTGTAGCAACAGATATTAATTAGCAAAGAATCTAGCCCTGGGCGTAGGAGGTGACGGGTCATGGGGTCTCAGGGAAAATGACAGAAGTTGTATTGGCCTTGCGATTGCAGCTGAGATGTTCGCAAACACACGGGCACAAACGGGAGAGAACTCTGAGCTTCTCCAGTTTTCCCTGCCTTGCATCTTGGTTCTCTAGGACCACAGACCATCCCAGATACTGAGGGGGTTGTGATGTTTTGGTCCGTCTGGGGTCCCACTGGCGAGTTGCTGTGTCTCCCTGTTTATCCTGGTCCCTTGGGTGGCCAGCGCTGTGGGGTGGGCTCCGCAGCTGTGTGCGGTGCCCGCCCCTCCCGCACCCCCCTCCTGCCCCATGGGGCTGGCGTGATCAGTGGGAGACGGGGCCCCTGACACCTGCAGGCCCCCAGCCCCTTCCCCAGGACACCCTGTGTCTGTCCCCCAGCCCCTTCCGAAGGGATCTGCCCCTCGAGGCATCCCACCCCGGGCGCTGAGGGCGCTGGGTTCTCAGCCGTGGCCGCTTGCGTGGGGCGTCACCTCGCCTTAAGTGTGCAGCTTTCACAGTCGGGGCTGCATTTTCCCCAAGTTCTGTATTTTTAGACCGAGAAGGAGGTGGCGCTGACGGAGCAGACATGCAGCCTGGGGGTGAGGGGCGGGCGGTGTCCTGCAGCCTGGGGACGGGGCAGTGAGCTCACACGGGGCCAGGCTGGGCCGGGCCGGGCTGGACAGCTCCCCCTGGCGCCTGCGGACGGGGGCCACCTCGGGTGGGGCCTGGGGGAGGCCGACTCGGCCGACTTCCTGCAGGGGAATGGCTGTGTAAAGGGCCTGACCTCTCTGTCTGGAGCTGCTGGCCCAGAGGGGAAGACAACCACAAGTACCCGAACAGACGGCGTCCGTGAGAGTACGAGAGGGTGGACGGTATCGGAGGGAGGACGTGTCAGAACACTGATCACGGACGTCGTGTGCACACGCGTGGGTTGTCTGGAAGCCTGCTGGAGTAACTTCAGTGCGGGGGCGGGGCGGGGGGGAAGCGAGGTGGGAACAGAGGTCCCCTTCAAGGCCTTAAGTGCTGAAGTGAGCTGCTTGGGAACATTCGTGGACGAGACAGAGCTCCCTGGTGGGGACAGTCGCCTGGTGGCCCTGCCACCACTGGTCCCCTGTCGGGGTGTTACTCAGGGTGTGTTGGGAAGAAATGAGAGCCTCGGCCCCTTTCCCAAGTGCCTCTTGCCCTGGAAGGACTGGAAGGTTCCATCTGGCCGCGGGCACTGGGGGGAGGCGGAGGGCAGCAAGGGGTTAATGTTTCAAACCTCTGTGAGGAGGGGCGGGCTGGGGGGAAGAAGATAAAAACCAAGGCAAAGGCTAAGCTGCTGGTGATTTGGTTGCATTTGTGGATGATCCACCTCTTGAAAAGGAGAAGTCAGGGCTGGGAGGTGCTGCGGCAGGGGGTCATCGGGACCCTTCTCCGAGTCTCCAGGCCGGGCAGTCGATGCTTCTTAAGGCCCCCCTTTGACCTCTGCTCCCCGCTGACACCCCCCCCCCCACCATTCCAGGGGCAGCACTTCTGCAAATGCTGTGGCTTCACCGGACTCTGGGAAGGGACAGAGGCCGCTGGGCTGCACACCAGCCGGCAGAGAGGGTGCCCGCATTTGCAGAAAGTTAGGATCCGGAAACTTCCATCCACGTCCTTTTATAATAATTAATGAACGGTGGAGGCAGTTCGGGTTAGAACTGGGGCTGTCCGAGAGCAAATTACATTGAAACAGCCGCGCAAGGCGGCTGCTGTGAGCAACCTTCGCGGGAGTGTTTACGGTGGTGATTTCTGTCTAAACAAATTCTCTTTGACGTGAATTTACAAAAGCGTATTCGGTGATTTTTTTCCGAGTTTTCACAGACACACTCTTAGTAAGATACACATGAGTTTCTCATGTTCTAGCTTTCAAAATTAATTTTACTTTAAAAATTGCATTAACTAAGAGAAGAAAACACAAAGTGCTCTAGTGTTTTACCCTGAAATGTAGTAAAACTTTGATTTTATCTTTCTGCTGAATGCTTTCTTCAGCAGTTCTCTAAATTACATAAATTGGCTTGTTTTAAACACACATATTTTTGAACTCTGAAGAAAGTGAAATCTCTAACTTGGGAGGGAAATAAGGGCTTTAAAATTTCAACAAAGGGCTCATATGTAAATGTGTCCTTTCAGCTACAATAAAAAGTAGGAAATATTATTTTCAACTTACAAATATTTCAAACCACACCAAAAAAGAGGTGTATTTGTCCTGCTCCCGTTTAACCTCCTTGGTGGCAGAAATCAAGAAAACAGACCCCCTCCGTCCCTCTTACTAAAATCCTTTGGAATCCTTTTGAATGTTACCTGTGTTCACATGAACGGAGGATCGGTGATATGGTTCAATCATTACACTGTAACATTCTCTCCATGGCTCCCCTTGTATCGGTTTCATAAGTGAGCTCGTGCTACAGGTAGCTGCGTGCCTGCACGTTAATTTTCGTATCTTGTACTCTCCTGGTATCTTGGGAGGATGCGTCTTCTAAAATGTTCCAAGAAGCCAGAGACGCCCCCTTTGGCTGGACGCGCTGAGAAGGTGCCAGGGGTATCCCAGGTGAAGGATTAGCGAGCGCCGACAGTGGGGCCCGCCTTTGCCTCGTCTCGTGGGCTCAGATTGCTTTCGAAAAGGAGCAGATGCGTGTCTGAAACGGCGGCCTGAGACCCGGAGCCGTGCGTGGATGCGGTCTCGCGGTGGGTGTGCGTCAGCCGCGCGGCCGTGCGTGGTGGCCACAGGGACCCGAGGGCAGCAGAGCAGCAGCCGGCGTGGGCACCTCGCTGCCCTGTGTTACCGTAAACACCGTCTGTGGAGAGAAAACTCTCACTGTCCCCCCACGCCCCTCGCCCATCTTTCGGGTAGCGATACATGAAGAGGTGCCCGCCGGCCGTCGAAAACCGAGTCGAGGTCTTGGTGCCTCTGTAAAGGGGAAAGGTGCCACCAGGGTCCCTAGATCAGGTGCCTGAGACTGCTCACCGCCGGAGCTGTTCCCAGCCCACGTTCGTGGGCTAGAGGTTATTTCAGGAGTGGACGCTAGGTCACCCCCAGGAAGCGCCTGCTCCAGGCGACATCCCGGCGGACGTGGTCGGAAGGTGCAGACAGACAGACAGGTGTGCAGGGCCCTCCTCTCCAGGTTCACGCCCGAGTAGCCTGCGCCCTCCATCAGCGCGGCATCTGATCTCTTGTGTTAGGTGCAAGTAAAGCTGATTCCGTGGCCGTGACCGCACCGTGTCCTGAAAGACTGTTTGGATGCAACCTCTAGATCTGATTTCTCCTCTCAGGGCCGTGCACAGCATCGTCCGTGCAGAGACATCGCACTTTCATCCCACAACGAGTCGAGGGGCGTGGAAAGCCGGTCTTGCACAGACACAAGACACGTGAACTTGGCCGCCGCACGTTCCCGGGCTTCCCCCTGGCCGCCGCCGCTGCCCTCACTGCCACGGGCCGTGCCGCTCCCCAGATGACCTGAGGTTGACGCATCCGTGTCCCACGATGGTCCCACCGCAGGTAAGCACCGTGCTGGGTAAGGAGCGAGAAGACGGGGGGCTCAGTCCCTGGGGGACACTGTTGGACCTCGGGGTCCCTGCCAGCAGTTTAGGGTTCAGGGCTGCTGGGCCTCCCGGGTCTTGGGACACACCTCCCCGGGGTGCACTGCAATTGAGAGGAGTCGTGGGTCCACGCTCCCTGAGATCTCAGAGCAGCCCCGTGTACACACACGGCGGTCCGTCCCGGGGACCCGTGGTCACGCTGATGCCGATTCCAGACGAGTCCTTTCCAGGATTGCGTTTTCACCTTGCAAATAAATTCCTCTGTCTGTGAACCTCGATTCCACGGGCGCCCGCCAGAGCGTGTTTCCCAGGTGAGTCTGACTTCCTGCCGGGGTGTCTTCAGAGGGTGGCGCAGGCTGCAGGAGGACGTGGCTCACCGGGCAGTGCGGTGCGCGTCCCCGACGAGCCAGGCGAGGTCAGGGGACGGCGCGCGGTCGCGTCTCTGCAGAGGCCCCCTCTGACTCGGGTGTTCTGGGCAAACGCTGTGACAGCCTGGGGCCACCGGGCGCCCAGCACAAAGGGGATTCACCGCGGGACAGACCTGACCGGCCACTGCTTCGGCCGTGTGACTGGCTCGGGGGTTTCCCAAGTGCTGATTGGGACGTGAATGCCACCAGTCACAAAACAGACGTCCCAGGGATGTGACCAGGGCGATTCGATTCTCTTGCGAGGGAACACCGCACTATTTTCGTGATAGGGAAGTTGACCCCGGAGAGACTGCTGAGGAATCTTGCCCGAGTTTCTACCCTGAATCTTAGCAATGCAAATTTACTCAGGTGTCTGCTTTATGAGCCACCTAGATACACCATAAATTCTCTCGCTAATTCAGGCTGCGCCTTAGGTTTAAGCTAGTTCGTAATGGCCGTGTATGTGTACTGAACACCCACAGAGAGTGCGTATATGCACTGAACATACTGTTTCAAATGTCAGAAGCAGAGATAATGCTAAAAATCCAAAAATCAAGAGTACAGCCTGGTAATAGGCATCCAGGAAGGAATAATAAATAGAAAATGAATTTCTAAAGACGCACTTTCTATATGAAGTTATAATGACGTTGAGATTTTTTCCTACTAAAGTCTGCACAAAAGATTTAATTTCTTTTAAGAAATTGTAATCAAAAGCTATTCAGATCATGTCAATAAAGCAGACAATTAGAAACTAATTTCCTAAACTTATTTGTCCACCAAAATTATCTCTGCCTCTAGAATACTGTATAAACAAAGAATGGATGCAAATTAAACTGCTTTCGTCGGTATCCCCAGCTCACAGAAACCCAGCTTTCAAAATAGCTGTAACATGAAGTAGAAGAAATGTCTGTAATTTTCTCCATCCTTCTTTTAAAAATATATCATTTTGTTCAAATAGTCATACAAGCCTACCCACAAGATGGGGGAAAGGAAGGAGAAGAATAACAAGATGGCACAGCAGATCCTATGGAATCTAGAAAGCAGTCTCTTAACTGAAAATGTGAAATCGTTTCATGACAATCACGTGGACTTTCAGAAATAGTTTCAGGTTTGGGCGTTGTCTGTCCTTGTGGGAAGCTGCGATACATTGTACACAGGCCCCAGTCACTACAGGGATATTATTCACCGTGACATCTGGCCTTGGTGGAAAGAACTTTCATTCCTAAGTGCTGTCGAGGTTAAATTGAATTTATGCATCTGAATTTTCATGACGATTTTTCTTTTCAATGGGATGATAAACTCGGGGTGAACAGACCAAGCAAACAGCAAAGCCTCAATAAAATGCACAAAATAAAACTCACCAACGTTTTTTATGATCAAAATGAAAGTCCTTTTAATTTAGGACATTTATTTATTAAGCATCACACCTCCGAGCTCCAGGGTTCGATCACCCAGTCAGTGAAATCGTAGTGTTTTCAAGCAGAACAGGGCCTTCCCGCTCACCAGCAGATAGAGAAACTGAGGCAGCCCGCAAGGAGAGCCCAGCGGTCCGAATCCCCGGGGTCAGTTATCCAGAATGACACGGCGGGATTCTTTCCAACGCTCTTTACAAATGATGGGATAAAGGGGGAAGGACAGAGATCAAAGCGCAGTGGAGCCTTTGGTTAATCACATTAGTTCTGATAAAAGTCCAGCTCCAGATAAAACAGAGAGCCCACTTGTTTTAATAAGGGACATCAAACCTCCTGCGGGAGCTCTTAACCCCTCTGGTATGCAGCTTCCTCCCGGGTCCGCCTCCTGCCGCCAGGGGCGTTTTTACTGAGTGCGTCCTACCACCAAAGCCCAGGCGGTGCACCAGCATCTGATCCGCAGACATCCAAGTCCGATGGCCCACGTCCCCTCTTCTCCCTGTTTTTGGGGACGAGGGAACCTAGGAAGGAGCAGGGTGGCTAAGTAGCAGATTCAGGGGAGCCCTGACACCTGTGGGGCGGGGCCAGTATTTGGACCCGAAGGCCAGCCTCACCCTCGGTGCACGGAATGGCGGTTCTTCTGTTATCGAGCTGAGTTACGGGGTGAAATGGGCGGGGAAAACGGACATGCAGTGAAGCGTTTTAAGAACGTCAGACAGCGTTAATTTCAGAAAAGATGCTGCGTTCGTGTGAAGATGAAGACACAAGCAGGCAGAAACCCATTTGTTTCCTTATTTATTTAAACTTTCTGTGCGCTGAACTCTCGAGAAAGTCACCATAGTCAGGTCTGGCCACGTGGATAACGCACCTTCGTTTCCGCTCCAGTTGTGTTTCTTCTTCGAAATCAGCTTGTCCCCAGTCACCGTTGCTTGTGACTCATCACTTTCCTCTTTTTAGCTCCTTTCCACAATCAGCGCATTGTATTCTGCTCTTCCATCTAAGCTGGAGTCAGGCCTGCAGAAGTATATCTGCAGTGGTTGCCAGTTTCTAAAGTAATCTCACTGCATTTTCATAAATGCAGTGCACGGGGCTGAGAGAGAATTTGACGAGTAGCAGAGAAGTCCAGGCTGTAATGGCCTCCATGCTAATGAATGCAGCGCCCAATTAGCCTCGAGCAAGGGACAAAGTTGCATCTAAGAGGTTCTCTAACTTACAATGTAACTCTTCCCTAATCCCTCTGAGTGTATATTGAAGGCCACCCCTGAGGAGGACATTGGACATTAACCTAGTCTGTGTTCTCAGGGTTTAGAGAGAACTCTGTGGACAGACCATCGTAACCTTGGACCCGAGTCTTTGCAGAATTACAACTACGTGCCTAGCAGCCCTCCGGTCCTGCCCCTCTCCGCTTCCCCCGGACATGACCCCCCGTGTCTGTTCACAACTGAGATCTGTTCCAGTTGGAGCCCTGGCTGTGCTCACGAGACCCCCTCGTGATTCTTGAAACAACTGGGCGTTTCTAGATGTGAAACTCTTGACTCAAACCAACGTCTTTCTTGGAGAAGAAGTGTTAAGTCATTGCCAGAAAAATTTCTTGTTGGTTCTCAGTTTTCTACAAAAAAAAAAAAAGTTCTTGCTTTTATGTCAGGTAGTGAAACTTGCTACAGAAACTCATCTATTCCACAAACAACAGAAGGCTTTTGTATCTTTCAACTGCTACACAGGAAGGAATTCCCACTGCATATGTGTGTTTCATTCACTTGAAAACACCGTGGAAGGTGTTCGCTACTTAAACACATGCATCTACCATGTGTAGAGTGCAGTCTCCGCTCCTACGGCACAAACTTTTGTTGAAGGTCAAGAGCAACATAATAGCTAGTGGCCGGAAGCTATTGTGGCAGCTTCCTGTCTGCAGGATCGCTCTAAAACCTGAGAAAGTTTACAATAAATGTGAAATTGACCTCTAACATCATGTTGGCCGTCCTGAAGAAGGTCTCCTATTTATCAGAAAAAGTTTTAGCCCTAAAAAATAAGTTCTTGGATCCGTCTTTCAGATGCTACTTGCACAGTTACTGTTAAAACCACTAAAGAAACTTTTATTAGGAAGTTTTTATAGTTGACTATTCATAGTTTGTACCCAGTTTTCTGTCCATTCTTCACAGACATGTGATTTTGGAATCATTCAGCAAAACATTCATGGGTTATCATAGATTTTTTTTTGTGCCACATATAAAGAGTAAAGTTCAACTAACACAGCGTCTCTGAGGAGTAGAAAGAAAAAGAGAGGCACAGTTCCTGGCCAAGGTGAGATGCGTTCTCTTCACTGAGTTCTTGTTTATTCTAAACACCGGGGCTGCGTGGGAAGGAGGTATCGAAACTTGAGAAAAACTCTTGCTCCACCCTGGGGGTGTTGGTTCATAATTAAGTTGACTCAGAATGAAATAAAATTTAAATTGCTCAAAGTAATTAGCTTTTATTTTTTTTTATCAAAGTAGAGGCTGAAGATAAAAATAAAACTAACTCTATCTGGGTGAAGAAAATTTTATGCTAAACATCTTAAATTTGAGGATAGCCACTTACAAAACATTCACAATGCAAAGTGAGCAGAAATTTCAAGGAATTACATTTTCAAAATTGCCCTTACTCAGTCATTTTCAAGGATGATGGGTCTTCACAGTGAAGACCAGAGAAGCAGAGGGTGGGCGAAAGCGGTTTAGAGTGGTGAGTCCATGAAGCACAGGGTTTATTCTTGTGTTATTATTTATGTATTAATTATCGTATTATTTACTATTATGCATAACCTACTTTTGCCCACCCCTGTAAATATACTAAACTCTCAGAATTCTAAAAGTAAACACTGGATTATGTTCAGTGTCGCTTTGGGATAACGTTTTCTCTTTGATTCCTGAAGTATTTAAAAACGGGAACCCAAGCATTAACCATACAGGTCAGTTCATTTTCAGAAGGAGACGCACCTGCGCTCACGTTGCTTGTTCGCTGGAACCCCAAGCACTTGCGCCCCGGGAACTGCCGCGGGTGGGGGGGACTGGGACGTGGGGGCGAGCCAGGTTCTCTGGGGTCGTGGGGCACGTGTGTGTCCAGAGAGGGACACGCACCCGCTGCTGCAGGAGGAAAGCCTCTGCCGG